TCCCTTTTTTGCCTCTGGATTTTGTACTTCCTTTTAATTGCTCCCCTTTTCTTTTTGTTCTGTCCATTAAGGGGCACCCCGGATTTTTTTTTGTGCCTGTAACGTGGTTTCCCCTATAGTCCTGTCTCATACCATTACTGTCAGAGGGGCAATTTACTGGGGCCTTTTTTCCCCCCCCTTTTGAGTGCTTTTAAATCCTGAAAAAAGTTCCCCGGGGAAAATCCCTCTTTTTTCCGTTGTTTATGTTATTAGTTTTCCCTTTTTCTTCCCTTATATTTATTTTTTTCAGCCCCCTGCACCCATGAAAAATCAGGGGCCCTTTCTCTTCCCTCCTTTTTTTTCCTTTCCCTTCCCTATTTCTGTATTCAATTTGAGATTTTGCATTCTGGATGTCTGAAACATTCCACAAAGGCTTTTAGCCCCCTTTCCTTTTTAAACCCTTTTCTGCTGCCCCTGTTTTGTTTTTTTAATGCCCCACCCTTATCACCTCTAGTTCCCTCTTCACTCCCGCAAATTCCCCCCGGTTGAAAAAAACGATAGAGTTTCCCTTTATATCTTTCAATATGTAAAATAAAAGCTACAGTTTTTATATTCAATTTAAATGTGGGAAAAAAAACAAAACTAATTTCTTTTTTATTTATCAAGGAAAAAAAGACCCCAAAAATTAGCTGGCAAAATTTGAATCGTACAATGGACCCCCGTTTACATTCATTTCATTCCCGAAGTATGTTCGGTGCATTTTGAAAAATTTGTTCCCATAAGGAAAATTTTTTGAATTAGATTAGTCCTTTCAACCCCCCAAAATACACATACAAAAGCACTTAATAAATACACTTAATAATTGGCGCATTTGGGGGCTGATCGTTAAAGCGGGGGGGCCCTGTACCCAATACACCCAAATTTCCCAAAACTAAGGGACAAAAAATTTGGGTTTTTTATTAAAATAAAAAAAAAAAAAAATAACCGCACTGTAATACATGTACTGAAAAAAAAGAACAGTAAACCCCCAAAAATTTTATAATCTTTTTTTTAAATTTTTTAATTTGCCCAATTTTTGATGAAGGGGGTCTCGACTAGCCCGCTTAAAACCAAATTATTTTTTTTTTTGACTGTAAACCCCCTTTAATAAAACCTTTTGGATTTTATAATAAAATGCAAATGGTCATCCCCTTTTTTGTTAAATGAACTCAATTTTGAGTTAAATTTTGAGGTAGGCTTTTAAAAACAATACCCCAAATCTGAAACAAAAAGTACGCCCGCAGAAATTTGCAGACTGGAATCAGGCTTGTAAAATCCCTTTGGAAGAAACTATGGATAGGGGGTTGATATATTGCACAAATACTCATTTCTCTACAAAATTTACAAAAGGAAATCTGTTTTTTCTTAAACTGTCAAAAGAAAATTTACGTTGACATGCGGGGGGTTTCGAACGTAGATTTGTTTTTTTTTACGTGTTTTAAAAGGGGGAAAAAACAGGTTAGAGGCTAGCACGTGAACGCGATCTACGTTTGGACGTTTGAGTTAAAACACACTGCAACTTTTCATCTACAATATTAATTAAAAATAACATTTGGTTCCCCCAGTTTCGAACACCCAACCGAGCAAAATTTTGTAAGTGTATATTGTAATTTTTCGAATGTTTTTTGGGGCTTGAAAGGAAATTAAAATTTTCATTATTCTTATGGGGGCAAATTATTCGGTAAAGCACTCAAAAGGGCACGGAACGAATTTTTACCCAATCGGGGGACCATTGTAGATAGATATTATGCCGAAAAATATATATAAAATTTGGTATTTCCAAAAAAATAATTCTCAAAACTTTTCCTTTTTTATTCTTTACAAAAAAAAAAAAAAAGGCCCTAAAGGCAGTTAAATTCAAGATATTGAACTTAAAAAAAATCCCAAACCCTTTTTTTCCCGTTATTTAATGGCAAAACCTTTATTGGGGGATAAGGAAAAAATTTTAATTAAAATTTTGGGTGAATTTATTTCTGAAACACTGCTTACACACTCAAATTTAAAAAAAGTTAAAATTTATTTAGAAGCCCCGCTTTACCCTTAATGTAAAAGTTATTAGTAGTAGTAGGTTTCCGGCCTGTCCGGGGGGTTTCGTCCAGATGGTGATGGTGAAAAATGTTATATTTCCCCCAAAAAATATTTAATCAAAGGGAAAGAAAAAAGGATCCTTCAAAAATTCCCCCAATTTTTCTCAAAAAAAAAAAACCCTTTTCCATTAACACCTTTAAAAAAAAACATTTGGAAAAAAAAAAAAAAAAAAATAAATTTTACCGGGGTTTTAAATAAAATTTTTGTTTCTACTTTTCCAAGAATTTTTAAATCAATGGTTTTCAGAATTAAAATTAAAACTAAAACAAGATTGATTTCATTAAACCTACAAATGATTATAAACATTGAGAATTTAAAAAATTACATAAAAAATACACTATATAAATGTGGCTTTAGTTTTACTATACATGAATCATTTATCTGTACAGTACATACATGAATGGTAGAGTACAGTACGTACATGAATGGTAGAGTACAGTACGTACATGAATGGTAGAGTACAGTACGTACATGAATGGTAGAGTACAGTACGTACATGAATGGTAGAGTACAGTACGTACATGAATGGTAGAGTACAGTACATACATGCACCACGTGGGCAGCTTAAGAAAACGCTCTGCATAACTATGGGCTTTCAACATGATCTCAAGGCAAAACAACCATGGGGGGAGTTGAATGACAGCTCTAGGCCTTTAATGTTGCAATCAACATATCGGGAACTTGCAATGTTGTAGAAAAAAGGAGGAATTTCAAGCAAATACGTTCAGAGGAAGCGTCTCTGCTCAAATTCAAGCAAAGACACTTTATAGGAAGACGGTAACAACATGAGTTCGTCAAGAGTAAGCTGATATGAGGGAGACTATGACTCACCTTTACATTACCCACCTCATAATGTGAAGGACCAATACAAAAATTTAACACAGTAAAGGGTGGATATTACAGCATAATTACCCAGAGGGGCAGAACTATACTCATGGTGTTGCATCTTGTGTTTAATTTGTCATAGCAATGGAATGGCATACAAGAGGAAGTGCTAAAATACCTGAAATTAAAAAAAAAATATATAATAGATTATATAGAACAAAAAGGCACAATACAGTGACCGGAACAATACACAAACAACCCGAACACAGGAGACAGAAACTTACACAAATAACCCGCACATAAAAGAGAGAAGCTTACGATGATGTTTCGGTCCGACTTGACTTTGTAAATGGTCCAATTCGGACCGAAAAGTTGTTGTAAGCTTCTCTCTTTTATGTGCGGGTTATTTGTGTATCGTTCCAGTCACGGTATTGTGCCTTTTTTTGTTATTTATTGACAGAAACTTGTTATGATGTTTTGGTCTGATCAGTCACACTGTGTGACCAGTTAATGGCACATCAATTCTCCTATTTTCTAATAATATGTTTTTTTTGCCTATAATCTACCTTGTCTATAATTATTATTGCATTTGCTTTGTCTGTTTTTGTAAGGTGAAGTTCAGGATCTTTCCTTAATTCATGGTATAACTCAACAAATCTTTGTGGACAATTATGTTGCAGATGTCTGAGCTGTGCAACACAATTGTCCACAAAGATCTGTTAAGTTATACCATGAATTAAGGAAAGATCCTGGACCTCAACTTACGAAAGCAGACAAAGCAAATGCGATAGTAATTATGGACAAGACAGATTACAGGTGAAAAATAAACATGATATTAGGAGACAGAGAAACTCAAGCTCCTCTTAACCGTAAACAGTTCAAGCAGATCTACGTTCATGTGCGTAGTGCTGCAAAAGTAGATCTACGTTTTTTTTACATATTTTCAAATATAACCACTGCATCGTTTTTTGAACGGCCGATTTTAAATGAAAAAAAAAAAAAAAACTTTGTGTGAGTGACTTGAAAGTGTTGAATGATGATGAAGTATTTTCATTTGGGGATTTTCTTTCTGTTTGGTCACCCGCCTCGGTGGGAGACGGCGATTGTTTAAAAAAAAAAAAAAAAAAAAAAAAAAAAAAAAAAAAAAAATAGATCAAGTTTTTTAACATTTCAAATTAAAAAACAAAAGATACTTATATTCATTAAAAACGTATATTCTTTACTTTCGGGTTAATGGTGCATCAAATTATCTGTTTTTTATGTATTACTGTAAATAGATTATACACTGAAGACAAAATATCATGAGCATAATTCTGCTCCTGTAACTACAGAGTAAATTATACACATAAATCGAAGAGTGTAAATACATCACAATAAAATCAAGAAGTATGTCTTTAGTCTGAGGATGGTTAGGAAGTGGAATTATCAGCATGAGTAATGGAAGTGCTTCTTCAAACTTAGAGACATGGAATGATCTAATCTTAGTGGTAAATCTGAAATTTCCTGAAAATGCTAGACAATCCTTCAAAAAAATATATTTGCTATTACTTCAAATAAAAGGTAAAGACTGGTCTCATGAAGCCAAGAATTTAGAGACTATTAGTAAGTAACTAAAAGGCTTGCCATGAAGAAAGACTGGACTCTTACCACTACACACACTCAAAAAGGCAGGTACAGGTTGGCCATCATTGATCCAGAAATCACTAATCCAGTTCCATCACTACTCTGGCAATAATTTCAGCTAGCATCAGCATCACACCCATTTGTAGATGAATGGTTCAAAGAACCGACATGTTGTTAAATTAGACACAGTGCAACTCTTGGGTATCTTTATTGAGGAAACGTTTCGCCACACAGTGGTTTCATCAGTCCATACATAGGATAAACTTGAAGAACAGAAGGAGAATGAGGTAATCAGTCCCTCAGCCTTGAGTCAATGTGGTCAGTCCATCAATCTTGAATAAAATACCAAAGATTGATGGACTGACCACATCGACTCAAGGCTGAGGGACTGATTACCTCACTCTCCTCCTGTTCTTCAAGTTTATCCTTTGTATGGACTGATGAAGCCACTGTGTGGCAAAACGTTTCCTCATAAAGATACCCAAGAGTTGCACATGTGTCTAATTTAACATCACACCCATTTCATGAGGCGCCTACTGAGGGCAGTTAACTCGATCAGATCAGCACAAGTCTCTCTTAAGGAATTTAATGGTCCCAACGATGCCAGTTTAGTGATGGTCGACCTGTACACATACACATTGTACGGAACTACAAGACATTTATACCAGCACTCTTCTAAAGTGGAAATATTTGTTTAATAATGCATTACAAAGACAGAAGAGCAGTGTCCTGTCAAAGAAATAACCATTAATTCAATCCTCAAATATTTTACTGAATACTGTACATTTAACATTTTTAAATAATTTAATGCTATTATTAGTGTTTGGAGTGACATCGAAACTGCCGTATTTCAGCACCTCTGCAAAGACATTGATTATGTGTGAATGATGGTGAAAGTGTTTCTTTCTTTATTGGGTCACCGTGCCTCAGTGGGAGACAGCCAACATGTTAAAAAAAAAATACCATAATAAAATTAAACACTGTGTACTACTCTCAAAACTATCATTGTCCTGTCATGCATTATTTAATATAAATAATACTGTACCCTGGAGGAGGGGTGGGGATATTTGCATTTTGGAGGAGTATCTGAACCAGTATCGGCATGCCTCTGGCAAGACAGTGATGGAGTGAGTGATGGTAAAGGTGTTACTTTTTTTTTGGGGTCACTTTACCTCAGTGGGAGATGGATGATGTGTGAAAAAAAATACAGCACCAAATAACATAGCAGAACTGCATTTAAAAATGTTTAATGTACAACTGAGAAACATTGTATGTTAGTTTACAAAAAATAATAAATTAATAAGCATATATACTATATAAAAGAACATATTTTGAAGGTGTAAATGTGTGTGTAATTTTACAGATTCAGGCGCATTGTAGAATTACAAAAGATTAATTATGGGAAGTAAATAAATTATCGTGATATAATATCCAAACACATTTTTTCTTCAGCTTTAAGGCAAACCTTGATGGGAATCTAAAATAATATTACCCTGATGATCTTTAATACGGATCCGTCCCGTTGTATAACGGGTTTCAGTCCTACCATCCGGGTGCAAGATTTTAACAGTTCCATCGGGGTATTCGCGCCTTTTCTCTGAAGCAGTGTGAATCTCTCTCTGTCCACTAACAAATTCAAACACTTTACTACCATCTGAGTTGGACGAACAACTGTACCATCTTTCATAAAGCACACTTCTGTACCATCCTGATGAATAACTTTTCGAGAGCCATCGGCAAAAATGATCTCGGAAGAGCCATCTGGAAGGCGGGTTTCTTTCTGCCCACTTGGAAATATTAATATTTCCTTTCCGTCATCAAACGTTGTATGACTTGTATGATCACTTCCATATATATAAATTATTCTGTCTTCGTGTATTTCTTTTCTATCTCCATTATAATAACTAAAAACAACTAAACCATTTGAATACAGTTCCTTTTTGTTACCATTTGCATAAACAATTTCTTTGGTGCCATCATCTCTGAAGGATTCTGTAAACTCACAGCTCTTACCTTCGGAATGTACAGTTGTATTGTCAAGTTCCAAAATATTTTGAACAGATTTTGGAAAGCTTGAAGGCATGCAAACTTGGTTTACATCATCACTTCGTCCCTGACACGGCTCGTTTAAATTGAGCTGAATTTGCTCCTTAGACGGCAGCATAGACAGTAAGTTGGGTTCATGGGTGCTAGGATCTTTATCAATATTACACTGTGTGTTCTGTGTAACAGGATTATTCTGTCTATCATTTATGTCAATGTCTTTGGATTTGTGCTTGGCCAACCTTTCCAAAGATCTATTGATACTATCAATTGTTGCAGCTTTGGGCTTTGGTCCGGACTTTTCTCTTACAGGGTTTGCTGCTTGACCAGCAAAAGCTTTTTTACTACTCAGTTTAGCTCGGTCAAGCTTGTGTTTAAGTTGCAAGTTTTCTTTCTCTAGATTCTGAAGGTGTACAATTTTCTTTTTAAGTTCTGTGTTTTCATCTTCCAAATTCTTGATTTTTTCATTTAATTTTTTAACAGAATACAAGTGCAGGGATTCTTTCTTTTTTTCTTTCTCTTGCAGATCATGAATTTGTTCTTTTAAATAAACGACCTCCAATGAATTCTTGTTAGCCATTGTTAAAGACGGAGCTTGATGCTTAAGCTCTTGCTTTTCTCGCCATATAGCATTTCGCTCATTATCAATGTATTCCTGTAGTCTCTTTTTCTCTTTGGCTATTTCCTCTTGTAATTTGTGCTTTTCTTCTGTCAGGTGTTTCTTTTCATCTATTGCTAACTGTTGCAGCTTTTGCAACTTTGATTTCTCTCTCTTAAATATTTCAGTTTCCTTTTCTAATTCACAAACTTTAGCTAGCAGGAGTGTTTTGTAAGTATCAACGTCATCAACGGTACAAGCCTGCTCTTCCTGCGCCTCTGAAACCGTCAATTTGTCAGCTTCCTTACGCTTGCTTTTATTTTTGTCTCCCTTTTCAACCGGCTCAGCTTTGTTTGAAGCTTTTTTCTGATCTAAACATTTCCTTGACTCTCTATCCTTTCCAAATATGGACCATATATAGTTTGACGCACAGTTACTCCTGTGTTCGGGGGGAGAGAAGTGTAATGCAACAGGTTGTAAACCTGTTTGTCTTTGCTCTTTGGTACTAACCATACTGGTTGCAGAACACTTTACATTGCAAGTCATATCATCTGTACTGCATTCTAAAGTTTTGTCACTCTCGTCTGCATCATTTATTTCCAGGAGAGGTATTAATGGTTCATGCATGTTGAGATGCACTAAAGCTTCCATATCTGATGTGGTAACAAGGTCACTATCATCTTCAATCAAGGTTGGTGCATCAGTCAATGTATTCTCATCGTCATTTTCTGAAAGTTCGTATTCTAAGACTTCAACTCCCTCGTTCCTGAAGCGAACATGCGGTTTAGGAAGGTCTAAGTCTTGTGTTAGAGCTGGGGTACTAGTGGCATTGATAGCAGCATGCTGAATACTACTTGCAAAATGTGATGCTGGACCATGTTCATCAACAAAACTTTCAATAAATGTTTGAATGTCAGCTTCTGATACATCATGCTCCTTTAATTTGATAAGATTTCTCAACTGCCCAAGTATCTGGTTTACATTTAATGTTGTTTGCTGTTTACAAGAGGAAGAATCTTGAGAGTCGCCAATAGATTTTAGTAACAAGTCAAGCAATTGCTTGCTAGCGGTATTAGGTTGAAATAGACTTCTTTTTGAAACCATGTCTTGAACATTTTTAGGTGTTTTTGGAGATGTTACAGGGGATGCTGAATGTAAAGGGGTAGACGCCAAGGAGTGCTGGCCACGCTGCAGCAGCTGCCAAACTGTGGAAGAATTTGATGAGAAACTTGAATCGGCTGCAAGCTCTTCCAGCTTCTCAAATGCAGACAGTTCTTCTTGTTCCTTTAAACTTCTGAGGGTTTCTGAACAAGGATGTACAGACTTATATTCGTCTTCTGAAGTATGATGAACTTGACTTGGCATAACTACTTGCTTAGTGCACTCAGCCTCATTTAATGAGTCAACTGTTGCACTGGGAATATTCTTAAATGAAGTTGATTTATTGCTCTATTGCATGTTCTTTTCATATAATTTACATTTGCATTAGTAACATATGTTTTAATACTTGTAGATCCTTGATTATTGTCTCTAAATTCTTGGTTTTTCACCTGATTCTCTGAATCAGAATTTTTATAATTTATTAATGTGGTTTTTCTTTTTAATTTTATTGGATTCATACCGAACCTTGCAGTGCCCTCACCTTTCCTTAGGTACCGATGCTTAGGCTTGTCTCTAGCATCACATTCTAAAGCACGATGGATGACAGGGTTTCTGGTCAGTGGAATACGAGCATTTTCTCCAGGGCTAGATTTGTACTTTTCAGCATGGTAAACCTCTTCCAACTCTAGACTGTCTTCACATTTGTTTTCCAAACTTAAGTTACCACAGTAAATATTTTCCATCTGTTCACCTCCTGCCTGTGAATTTGGACTCTTATTATTTGATGTGATTTTCACATTACCTGACAGAAGATTATTATGCTTACCTCCACTAAATGGACTTTTTGAGATGCCCCGTTTTTCATAATCCTTAATAGGTTTAGCCTGACAATCTTCTGATGCATCATGACTTACTGAAAAGACTGATCCATAAGGGCTCATATTGCTAAGTGGTGGCCATGTGGCTAATGCTGCATCAGTAAAAGCAGTATTTGTGCATACATTTATTGCATTTTGTGAAGAGAAGTGCTTTAGTCTGCCTCCATTCCAATGTTCCTCTCTCTCTCTGTGAAGAACATCTCCGTGTGTTGTCCAAGGTAGAGCACCTGAAGGTGAAGCTACTACCAATGCCTCTTGCTCCATTTGTGCCATATTCTGGGCCTTGTGGTCATCTCTCTTCTCAAATAAATATTCAGGGTGGAAAGATGTAGAGTCATTTGTTGTTTGGGATGAAAAATCATTGCCTGAATCATCTGGGTGTGTATTAGAGGAAGTGAAGCAAGAAGTCTCGAGACTGCAGGACTGGACTTCCACGAGTTTCTCCCGATACTTTTCCTGCCATTTCCTGATTTCCTTCAGTCTTTCAAGCATAACTTGAGAAGGTGACGGCTCATTTAATTCTGTATTTAGTTTCCCTGGCTTCTGGTCATTTTTCTCAGCTTCCTCAGTAAACTTTCCCTGCTCACAATTCGCCATTACAAATAGAAACGACACTACTAAACCTAGCAACATTAAAAATATATATAATTTATCACACAAATAAAAAAACAGAAGAGTCCCACAACACAGACCTGCACACAAATAAGTACAATGTGACAAACTATAGTACACACAGCTTCTGTGCAACAGCTCTGATATAGTAGATTCTACAACACATTTACTGAACAGAAAAAACGTACTGCCCTTTATAAAAACTCATTTTCATCTAGTAAGGAACTAAATAAGGAAGAACGTTTCATTTAGCAGTACCGTAGTACAAAATTTTAGAAAGATAATTCACCTTGGTGATGAAACATACACAAATCAGTATGCTAATATAAACTAGTCTTCTTCATTATACGGAAGAACTCATCCTGATTAATTTCATTGTCACCATCCCGATCAGCTTCTTCGATCATTTCCTGCAGTTCTTCATCAGTAAGGTTCTCTCCCAAGGTCTCTGCGACACGCTTCAAGTTAGCGAAGGAAATTTTCCCAGTGTTGTCATCATCAAAAAGCTTGAAGGCTTTTAGAATCTCCTCTTTCACATCTTTTTCAGCCATCTTAATAGTCATGAGATGAAGAAATTCTTCAAACTTAATCTTACCACTTTCATCTTTGTCAATTTCCGCTACCATCTTTTTGATATCTTCCTTTTTAGGCTCAAATCCCAGTGCCCTCATAGCTACCTTGAGTTCCTTGGGGTCAATTGTACCTGTACCATTAGGGTCAAAGAGGTCAAAGGCTTCCTTAATGTCATTCTTCTGTACCTCTGTAAGCTCAAACTTGGTGCTGCCAGATCGTCGTTTGCCTCCTGCGTTAGTGATTGAAGGACGCTTGTACTGATTGGACATTCCTAATACAACCTGAAATATACAGAATTATATCAACATTATTATAATCATGGGTCAGTCTAGGTTAAAACCTACATAATTTACTACATTTATAAAACTATCAATAATAATAATAATAATAATAATAATAAGAGGAGCGATTGGTGGAATGTTGATGTAAAGAGAGTAGTAAGGGAGAAAAAGTTAGCATATGAGAAGTTTTTACAAAGTAGAAGTGATGCAAGGAGGGAAGAGTATATGGAGAAAAAGAGAGAGGTTAAGAGAGTGGTGAAGCAATGTAAAAAGAGAGCAAATGAGAGAGTGGGTGAGATGTTATCAACAAATTTTGTTGAAAATAAGAAAAAGTTTTGGAGTGAGATTAACAAGTTAAGAAAGCCTAGAGAACAAATGGATTTGTCAGTTAAAAACAGGAGAGGAGAGTTATTAAATAGAGAGTTAGAGGTATTGGGAAGATGGAGGGAATATTTTGAGGAACTGTTAAATGTTGATGAAGATAGGGAAGCTGTGATTTCATGTATAGGGCAAGGAGGAATAACATCTTGTAGGAGTGAGGAAGAGCCAGTTGTGAGTGTGGGGGAAGTTCGTGAGGCAGTAGGTAAAATGAAAGGGGGTAAGGCAGCCGGGATTGATGGGACAAAGATAGAAATGTTAAAAGCAGGTGGGCATATAGTTTTGGAGTGGTTGGTGCAATTATTTAATAAATGTATGGAAGAGGGTAAGGTACCTAGGGATTGGCAGAGAGCATGCATAGTTCCTTTGTATAAAGGCAAAGGGGACAAAAGAGAGTGCAAAAATTATTGGGGGATAAGTCTGTTGAGTATACCTGGTAAAGTGTATGGTCGAGTTATTATTGAAAGAATTAAGAGTAAGATGGAGAATAGGATAGCAGATGAACAAGGAGGCTTTAGGAAAGGTAGGGGGTGTGTGAACCAGGTGTTTACAGTGAAACATATAAGTGAACAGTATTTAGATAAGGCTAAAGAGGTCTTTGTGGCATTTATGGATTTGAAAAAGGCGTGTGACAGGGTGGATAGGGGGGCAATGTGGCAGATGTTGCAGGTGTATATTAATAATAATAATAATAATAATAATAATAATATCTTTATTTTACTACAAGTACATGTACAGGGTATACAGTCCTAGCTGATAACAATGACATACTACTATATAGAAAGTCCCTTGTTATGGTGTAGGAGTAGGTTACTGAAAGCAGTGAAGAGTTTTTACGAGGATAGTGAGGCTCAAGTTAGAGTATGTAGGAAAGAGGGAAATTATTTCCCAGTAAAAGTAGGCCTTAGACAAGGATGTGTGATGTCACCATGGTTGTTTAATATATTTATAGATGGGGTTGTAAGAGAAGTAAATGCGAGGGTCTTGGCAAGAGGCATGGAGTTAAAAGATAAAGAATCACACATAAAGTGGGAGTTGTCACAGTTGCTCTTTGCTGATGACACTGTGCTCTTGGGAGATTCTGAAGAGAAGTTGCAGAGATTGGTGGATGAATTTGGTAGGGTGTGCAAAAGAAAAATTAAAAGTGAATACAGGAAAGAGTAAGGTTATGAGGATAAACAAAAAGATTAGGTGATGAAAGATTGGATATCAGATTGGAGGGAGAGAGTATGGAGGAGGTGAATGTATTCAGATATTTGGGAGTGGACGTGTCAGCGGATGGGTCTATGAAAGATGAGGTGAATCATAGAATTGATGAGGGAAAAGGGTGAGTGGTGCACTTAGGAGTCTGTGGAGACAAAGAACTTTGTCCTTGGAGGCAAAGAGGGGAATGTATGAGAGTATAGTTTTACCAACGCTCTTATATGGGTGTGAAGCATGGGTGACGAATGTTGCAGCGAGGAGAAGGCTGGAGGCAGTGGAGATGTCATGTCTGAGGGCAATGTGTGGTGTGAATATAATGCAGAGAATTTGTAGTTTGGAAGTTAGGAGGAGGTGTGGGATTACCAAAACTGTTGTCCAGAAGGCTGAGGAAGGGTTGTTGAGGTGGGTCGGACATGTAGAGAGAATGGAGCGAAACAGAGTGACTTCAAGAGTGTATCAGTCTGTAGTGGAAGGAAGGCGAGGTAGGGGTCGGCCTAGGAAAGGTTGGAGGGAGGGGGTAAAGGAGGTTTTGTGTGCGAGGGGCTTGGACTTCCAGCAGGCATGCGTGAGCGTGTTTGATAGGAGTGAATGGAGACAAATGGTTTTTAATACTTGACGTGCTGTTGGAGTGTGAGCAAAGTAACATTTATGAAGGGGTTCAGGGAAACCGGCAGGCCGGACTTGAGTCCTGGAGATGGGAAGTACAGTGCCTGCACTCTGAAGGAGGGGTGTTAATGTTGCAGTTTAAAAACTGTAGTGTAAAGCACCCTTCTGGCAAGACAGTGATGTAGTGAATGATGGTGAAAGTTTTTCTTTTTCGGGCCACCCTGCCTTGGTGGGAATCTGCCAGTGTGATAATAAAAAAAAAAAATAATAATAATAATAATAATAATAATAATAATATTACAAGGGCCCTATTGGAAATAAGTTAATTTGTCTGACAGGAAACAGGAGATATCACAATATGCAAAATTACAACCATGAAAATAGTGAAATTCGAAGAACTTTCATGATTTCGTTAATACACTGAGAGAAATCACGAAAGTTCTTGGAATTTCACTTTTTTCTCGGTGGTAATTTTTGCATATGTTACTATGTATGATAACTGTTACTATGTGCACCTGTCCCTAAATAAACTTACTAACCACGAGGTTACAAAAAAGTGACTTGTGGGTGGCATCCTGGGGAAGAGGACCTATGGATCCCAAAGGAAATAAGTAGGCTATTTAGGTACAGGTATACATAAGTACAATTATCATACATAGTAACATAAATGTAAATTCCCTAGGAAGTAGGAAAAAATAATCCTTACTCCGAAAGTCATGGGTGTTGTAAGTGCAGGGAGCAATGGGGTAGTAACCCCTTTTGTATAAATTACTAAATATAAAAAACACAAACTTTCCTTTTTCTTTTTAAGTTAACCTGCCGGACACTGCAGGTTAACTTAACACGTCAGACACGTCGGACACGGCCAACGTGTTAAAAAAATAAAGTCAGACAGAGTAACTTATTTCCACTGGGGTCCTAGGTTTTTCTTGGGTTACCCTGGGTTACTAACCCTTTAGGGTTAATAATTCATATATCTAAACAAAGTAGAATTGATTGGGGTTTAAATCCTACTGACTACACGAGGAATATTAGGGAAATGAAGTCGGAACTGAATAACAGGGATAATAATAAATAATATATATATAGCCTATAATACATTGAAGCAAATTATTAGTATTACAATCAGAACTAAGCACTAAACCCACAAGGGTCATACAGTACTGACATCAAGGAGAAAAATGGTAATCTGAATAACTTACAATTTATTATTATTACAATAAGAAATAAGCGTTAAACCCACAAGGGTCATACAGGGCTGGAATAGCCTACGAGAAAGATATTTCCGCCTAGCCTCGACTACCATCACCATGACCCTTAGAACAACACTAGATTACAGTGTCATGATATTATTTACATGGCCATCGGATGTGCCAGTAACATGGTCATACAAGCAGCTGGTGCCAGTAACATGGTCATACAAGCAGCTGGTGCCAGTAACATGGTCATACAAGCAGCTGGTGCTGGTAACATGGTCATACAAGCAGCTGGTGCTGGTAACATGGTCATACAAGCAGCTGGTGCCAGTAACATGGTCATACAAGCAGCTGGTGCTGGTAACATGGTCATACAAGCAGCTGGTGCTGGTAACATGGTCATACAAGCAGCTGGTGCCAGTAACATGGTCATACAAGCAGCTGGTGCTGGTAACATGGTCATACAAGCAGCTGGTGCCAGTAACATGGTCATACAAGCAGCTGGTGCCAGTAACATGGTCATACAAGCAGCTGGTGCCAGTAACATGGTCATACAAGCAGCTGGTGCCAGTAACATGGTCATACAAGCAGCTGGTGCTGGTAACATGGTCATACAAGCAGCTGGTGCCAGTAACATGGTCATACAAGCAGCTGGCGCCAGTAACATGGTCATACAAGCAGCTGGTGTCAGTAACATGGTCATACAAGCAGCTGGTGCTGGTAACATGGTCATACAAGCAGCTGGTGTCAGTAACATGGTCATACAAGCAGCTGGTGCCAGTAACATGGTCATACAAGCAGCTGGTGTCAGTAACATGGTCATACAAGCAGCTGGTGCCAGTAACATGGTCATACAAGCAGCTGGTGCTGGTAACATGGTCATACAAGCAGCTGGTGCTGGTAACATGGTCATACAAGCAGCTGGTGCCAGTAACATGGTCATACAAGCAGCTGGTGCCAGTAACATGGTCATACAAGCAGCTGGTGCCAGTAACATGGTCATACAAGCAGCTGGTGCCAGTAACATGGTCATACAAGCAGCTGGTGCCAGTAACATGGTCATACAAGCAGCTGGTGCCAGTAACATGGTCATACAAGCAGCTGGTGCCAGTAACATGGTCATACAAGCAGCTGGTGCTGGTAACATGGTCATACAAGCAGCTGGTGCCAGTAACATGGTCATACAAGCAGCTGGTGCCAGTAACATGGTCATACAAGCAGCTGGTGCTGGTAACATGGTCATACAAGCAGCTGGTACCAGTAACATGGTCATACAAGCAGCTGGTGCTGGTAACATGGTCATACAAGCAGCTGGTGCCAGTAACATGGTCATACAAGCAGCTGGTGCTGGTAACATGGTCATACAAGCAGCTGGTGCTGGTAACATGGTCATACAAGCAGCTGGTGCTGGTAACATGGTCATACAAGCAGCTGGTGCCAGTAACATGGTCATACAAGCAGCTGGTACCAGTAACATGGTCATACAAGCAGCTGGTGCCAGTAACATGGTCATACAAGCAGCTGGTGCCAGTAACATGGTCATACAAGCAGCTGGTACCAGTAACATGGTCATACAAGCAGCTGGTGCCAGTAACATGGTCATACAAGCAGCTGGTGCTGGTAACATGGTCATACAAGCAGCTGGTGCCAGTAACATGGTCATACAAGCAGCTGGTACCAGTAACATGGTCATACAAGCAGCTGGTGCCAGTAACATGGTCATACAAGCAGCTGGTGCCAGTAACATGGTCATACAAGCAGCTGGTACCAGTAACATGGTCATACAAGCAGCTGGTGCCAGTAACATGGTCATACAAGCAGCTGGTGCCAGTAACATGGTCATACAAGCAGCTGGTACCAGTAACATGGTCATACAAGCAGCTGGTGCCAGTAACATGGTCATACAAGCAGCTGGTACCAGTAACATGGTCATACAAGCAGCTGGTGCCAGTAACAAGGTCATACAAGCAGCTGGTACCAGTAACAAGGACATACAAGCAGCTGGTACCAGTAACAAGGTCATACAAGCAGCTGGTACCAGTAACAAGGACATACAAGCAGCTGGTGCTGGTAACAAGGACATACAAGCAGCTGGTGCTGGTAACAAGGACATACAAGCAGCTGGTGCTGGTAACAAGGACATACAAGCAGCTGGTGCTGGTAACAAGGACATACAAGCAGCTGGTGCTGGTAACAAGGACATACAAGCAGCTGGTGCTGGTAACAAGGACATACAAGCAGCTGGTACCAGTAACAAGGTCATACAGACAGCTGGTGCCACTAACAAGGTCATACAGACAGCTGGTGCCACTAACAAGGTCATACAGACAGCTGGTGCCAGTAAAACAGGTGGTTCCAGCAGCTGGTTGTCGCTCGTCAACATAAACAAACTCAAGACTCAGGAAACATTCACAATTTCTTTAAAAAAAATAATGACAATTTTCCCCATATATCTCTCATTACTACCAATATATTACAATAAAAAACATTACTCAATAAGCAAAAATAAAATTCCAACTTTTATTTCTGTTTTAGTCTCAATACAATGAAATATTGTAAATAAAATTACCCTAAATGAATTTCCTTGTTTACTTTCAAAATTGTAAATCAATTCTATTTACAACAAAATTTTCGAAATAATTTACTAAAGTTAATTATGTCCTTTTATTTTTCCTGTTTTTTGATACATGAATCAACTTAGAAAAATATTTTGGAAAAAATTTTGGTGTGGCAGGTGTGAGGTGATCAATATTTTCTCTTAAAATTCACAAATATTAGTTAATTGAGTTTATTTAGGTACATGTACACACAAATACAATTATCATACATAGTAACATGTGTATAAATTACCCAGGATAATCCAAAAAAGTCAGATAATGTGACTTATTTCCACTGGGGCCCTTAACATGGCCAATATCGGCTGGGTTATGCCACGGATTTATTTTTATTTTTGGACTTTTCAAGGGTTTCAAGAAGCTTATTTAGTAACCAAATTTATTTAGGTACATGTATGCATAAGTACAATTACCATACAAAGTGTAAATTATCTAGGATAACCACATTGGGTTCCTTGATTTTCATTGATTTCCAATAATTTTCCCATAACTTGCCGGGTTTGGCTTTGCCTGGTCTGACTCTGCTGGGTTTGGCTCTGTTGGGTCTGACTCTGCTGGGTTTGGCTCTGCTGGGTCTGGCTCTGCCGGGTTTGGCTCTGCCGGGTCTGACTCTGCCGGGTTTGGCTCTGCTGGGTCTGGCTTTGCCGGGTCTGGCTCTACCGGGTCTGACTCTGCCGGGTCTGACTCTGCCGGGTTTGACTCTGCCGGGTCTGACTGCCGGGACGGATACAAAGGAAATCTACCTCATCTAATTCGGGACTTGTTCCTGTTTCTTTCTCTGAGAAAAACCCGCAGGAATATACAGTTACAGTAAATAAGGGTAATATAAGTGTGTCCAGGTGGAGGGTTCAGTACGGTGTCCAGGTGGAGGGTTCAGTACGGTGTCCAGGTGGAGGGTTCAGTACAGTGTCCAGGTAGAGGGTTCAGTACGGTGTCCAGGTGGAGGGTTCAGTACAGTGTCCAGGTAGAGGGTTCAGTACGGTGTCCAGGTGGAGGGTTCAGTACGGTGTCCAGGTGGAGGGTTCAGTACGGTGTCCAGGTGGAGGGTTCAGTACGGTGTCCAGGTGGAGGGTTCAGTACGGTGTCCAGGTGGAGGGTTCAGTACGGTGTCCAGGTGGAGGGTTCAGTACGGTGTCCAGGTGGAGGGTTCAGTACGGTGTCCAGGTGGAGGGTTCAGTACGGTGTCCAGGTGGAGGGTTCAGTACGGTGTCCAGGTGGAGGGTTCAGTACAGTGTCCAGGTAGAGGGTTCAGTACGGTGTCCAGGTGGAGGGTTCAGTACAGTGTCCAGGTGGAGGGTTCAGTACGGTGTCCAGGTGGAGGGTTCAGTACAGTGTCCAGGTGAAGGGTTCAGTACAGTGTCCAGGTAGAGGGTTCAGTACGGTGTCCAGGTGGAGGGTTCAGTACGGTGTCCAGGTGGAGGGTTCAGTACAGTGTCCAGGTGGAGGGTTCAGTACAGTGTCCAGGTGGAGGGTTCAGTACAGTGTCCAGGTGGAGGGTTCAGTACAGTGTCCAGGTGGAGGGTTCAGTACGGTGTCCATGTGGAGAGTTCAGTACAGTGTCCAGGTGGAGGGTTCAGTACAGTGTCCAGGTGGAGGGTTCAGTACGGTGTCCAGGTGGAGGGTTCAGTACAGTGTCCAGGTGGAGGGTTCAGTACGGTGTCCAGGTGGAGGGTTCAGTACAGTGTCCAGGTGGAGGGTTCAGTACGGTGTCCAGGTGGAGGGTTCAGTACAGTGTCCAGGTGGAGGGTTCAGTACAGTGTCCAGGTGGAGGGTTCAGTACAGTGTCCAGGTGGAGGGTTCAGTACGGTGTCCAGGTAAAGGGTTCAGTACGGTACACAGCGTCGGCGGCCCTAAACAACATAACAAAACAAAGTGGAACAAAAACAAAGTTACAGAAATAAGGTTAAAAAATCAGGTTAAATCACTGGATGACAGGAGGTGTGTTAATTATATTTGGTGAATTACATTTGTAATTAGTGTTAAATGTTTAAATATGTTAATATGACGCAGGACGGGGGTTTATGGCTGATTTTTGTTATGTAATGAGGATTGATAAACCCTCATGGGTGGGTCCTTGATGTTGGTGAGTGGATCTTCATTCAAGGATTGGGATTGTCCTCCACTTCCTTGGATCAAACTTGAATACATGTATATACGTGTTTATCTCATATGTACTCATACAGGGGCCAGGAGCTGTGGCTTGACCCCTGGAAGGAGGCACTATGGGCCCTACACAATTTTAACATGTTTATTAACCAGGTATAGATAATAACTTGTAACTTAAGTAAATATTTGTAGTTAAGACAGCAGAGTTGTGCTTGTGGTGTCCAGGAGCTGCAGCTCAACCCTGTTAGTCATTGCTAAACTTTGAGGTGAAGCGAATGAGGCATTAATATATCTTCAAGAGGGACAGGAGCTGCAGTTCAACACCCTCAAGAGGCCCACAATTAGGAACTGTACCCAGTTATATAGTGCTATATGACCCTTGTGGGTTTAGCACTTACTTATAATTATAATGATAATTTACCGAGTCGTATAGCGCTGTATGACCCTTGTGGGTTTAGCACTTATAATTATAATGATAATTTACCGAGTCGTATAGCGCTGTATGACCCTTGTGGGTTTAGCACTTACTTATAATTATAATGATAATTTACCGAGTCGTATAGCGCTGTATGACCCTTGTGGGTTTAGCACTTACTTATAATTATAATGATAATTTACCGAGTCGTATAGCACTGTATGACCCTTGTGGGTTTAGCACTTATAATTATAATGATAATTTACCGAGTCGTATAGCGCTGTATGACCCTTGTGGGTTTAGCACTTACTTATAATTATAATGATAATTTACCGAGTCGTATAGCACTGTATGACCCTTGTGGGTTTAGCACTAGCTATGATTATAATAATTTACCCAGTTATATAGCGTTGTATGATTATAATAATTATTTACTCAGTCATTTACCAGTTAAAACATAATTATAGACTGATAAATGAAAGATTTAATTTTTTCTAACGAGTGTATATTTTATTTTCAGGTTATGGCACTAAGACTGTGGAACATGAGGGTGTTGTGGTCACTGACATCGGCTCTGAATTCTCGTCTTGGCTTTATTTGCCAACCTCGTAACTTTTATGGGGCGGTTATTTGGCACAGGAAACAAGCATGTTCTACCTATGTTTCCCAGTCGGACAACATTAATAACATAAATATTAAAGAACGAAGCCTCAAAATCTTGAACAAGTTACAGTCGAAAGGGATATATAAATACTGCTGTGAAAAACACACAGCAGAGCTTTATCAACTTTTGTTGGACCTCGGAATCAAATCAAAAACAATAGAAACACAGATACTGAATCAGCCAGATATTTTAGGGTTTACGATAAAACACTGGACTGATATCTGTGAAGTTTTTGTGGATAATGGGATATCAAGCACCACAATCTTGCAAAACATTGCACTGCAACCACAGATCTTAAAACTCAAACCCTCTGCTCTCAGACAGATCATTTTGAAATACAGAGAAATTAAAGTTGGAACGCACAATGTTTTACCACTCATTAACAGGTAATCATTTTTTTTCCTGTTTGTTACATGTACAGGTGCTCCTCAACTTACGATGGTTCAACCTTACGATGGTGCAAAAGCAATTACGTACTTTGGAGATGAAACTCAGTTACCCAACATGAAGACAGCAAGTCTGTAATTTATGTAATTTTTTTTTAATTTTCAATACTGGTATTTAGAATAATAATACAGTGGACCCCCGGTTAACGATATTTTTTCATTCTGGAAGTATGTTCAGGTGCCAGTACTGACCGAATTTGTTCCCATAAGGAATATTGTGAAGTAGGTTAGTCCATTTCAGACCCCCAAACATACACGTACAAACGTACTTACATAAATACACTTACATAATTGGTCGCATTGGGAGGTGATCGTTAAACGGGGGTCCACTGTAATACCTTTATTTACTACAAGTACATGTACAAGGTATACAAGTACATGTACAAGGTATACAAGTACATGTACAAGGTATACAAGTACATGTACAAGGTATACAAGTACATGTACAAGGTATACAAGTACATGTACAAGGTATACAAGTACATGTACAAGGTATACCAGTACATGTACAAGGTATACAAGTACATGTACAAGGTATACAAGTACTTGTACAAGGTATACAAGTACATGTACAAGGTATACAAGTACATGTACAAGGTATACAAGTACATGTACAAGGTATACAAGTACATGTACAAGGTATACCAGTACATGTACAAGGTATACAAGTACATGTACAAGGTATACAAGTACATGTACAAGGTATACAAGTACATGTACAAGGTATACAAGTACATGTACAAGGTATACAAGTACATGTACAAGGTATACAAGTACATGTACAAGGTATACAAGTACATGTACAAGGTATACAAGTACATGTACAAGGTATACAAGTACATGTACAAGGTATACCAGTACATGTACAAGGTATACAAGTACATGTACAAGGTATACAAGTACTTGTACAAGGTATACAAGTACATGTACAAGGTATACAAGTACATGTACAAGGTATACAAGTACATGTACAAGGTATACAAGTACATGTACAAGGTATACCAGTACATGTACAAGGTATACAAGTACATGTACAAGGTATACAAGTACATGTACAAGGTATACAAGTACATGTACAAGGTATACAAGTACATGTACAAGGTATACAAGTACATGTACAAGGTATACAAGTACATGTACAAGGTATACAAGTACATGTACAAGGTATACAGATCATAGCTGACATCAATGACATACTACTATATAGAAAGTCCCTTGTTATGCTGAGCATTTCCCACAATTTAGGTCAATTTTATCTTCAGGATGCAACTCACACCAGGAAAAGTCGGTCGATGGATCTATAATTTCCTCACTAACAGAACACAGAGAGTAGTCGTCAACAGAGTAAAGTCCGAGGCAGCTACGGTGAAAAGCTCTGTTCCACAAGGCACAGTACTTGCTCCCATCTTGTTCCTCATCCTCATATCCGACATAGACAAGGATGTCAGCCACAGCACCGTGTCTTCCTTTGCAGATGACACCCGAATCTGCATGACAGTGTCTTCCATTGCAGACACTGCAAGGCTCCAGGCGGACATCAACCAAATCTTTCAGTGGGCTGCAGAAAACAATATGAAGTTCAACGATGAGAAATTTCAATTACTCAGATATGGTAAACATGAGGAAATTAAATCTTCATCTGAGTACAAAACAAATTCTGGCCACAAAATAGAGCGAAACACCAACGTCAAAGACCTGGGAGTGATCATGTCGGAGGATCTCACCTTCAAGGACCATAACATTGTATCAATCGCATCTGCTAGAAAAATGACAGGATGGATAATGAGAACCTTCAAAACTAGGGAGGCCAAGCCCATGATGACACTCTTCAGGTCACTTGTTCTATCTAGGCTGGAATATTGCTGCACACTAACAGCACCTTTCAAGGCAGGTGAAATTGCCGACCTAGAAAATGTACAGAGAACCTTCACGGCGCGCATAACGGAGATAAAACACCTCAATTACTGGGAGCGCTTGAGGTTCCTAAACCCTGTATTTCCCTGGAACGCAGGAGGAGAGATACATGATTATATACACCTGGAAAATCCTAGAGGGACTAGTACCGAACTTGCACACGAAAATCACTCACTACGAAAGCAAAAGACTTGGCAGACGATGCACCATCCCCCCAATGAAAAGCAGGGGTGTCACTAGCACGTTAAGAGACCATACAATAAGTGTCAGGGGCCCGAGACTGTTCAACTGCCTCCCAGCACACATAAGGGGGATTACCAACAGACCCCTGGCAGTCTTCAAGCTGGCACTGGACAAGCACCTAAAGTCAGTTCCTGATCAGCCGGGCTGTGGCTCGTACGTTAGTTTGCGTGCAGCCAGCAGCAACAGCCTGGTTGATCAGGCTCTGATCCACCAGGAGGCCTGGTCACAGACCGGGCCGCGGGGGCGTTGACCCCCGGAACTCTCTCCAGGTAAACTCCAGTCGACTAACACCCAGGTACCCATTTTACTACTAGGTGAACAGGGACAGTAGGTGTAAAGAAACACATCCTAATGTTTCCACCCATAACAGGGATTGCTCCCCAGACCTCAGTGTGTGAGCTGAGTGTGCTAGCAATTATTGATTTACTCATTCAGCGACAGTAGTTATATAGTACAGTGGACCCCCGGTTTACGATATTTCATTTCAGAAGTATGTTCAGGTGCCAGTACTGAACGAATTTGTTCCCATAAGGAATATTGTGAAGTAGATTAGTCCATTTCAGACCCCCAAACATACACGTACAAACGCACTTACATAAATACACTTACATAATTGGTCGCATTGGGAGCTGATCGTAAAACGGGGGTCCACTGTATTTACTTATTTAGTATATATTCATTTTTGGCTAATGATATTTTTAACTTACGAAGGGTTTGTTGGAATGTAACCCCATCATAAGCCGAGGAGCCCCTGAATATGTACACAAAGATATGGTCTAGGTCAGGGTTCCTAACCTTTTTACAATTACAGACTACCCATGGATTGCCTAGTATGTCCCCATGCCTCCTCACCTGACTGTCAAAAATCATCGTCATCACCAGTCCTATTAAGTACCAGTATGACTCATAAGATATCAGCAGCCTGGCTTTACTTTACATTAGCTAGGAACAGAACACCGGAAAGAAAAATCACAAAGATTTTACCATATTAATATATAGAAAAGCGGCAAGTTGTTCAAAGATTGAGCCCCATACCTCCATTATTTGGTTCCCATTTTCCAGGTTAAGAATCTTTGGTCTGTGTAAAGTGTGAACAACAGTACCATAGGTGGGCTATACTGATTGTTTCAGAATTTATAGATGGAAAGAGAGGAACAGCCTGAGTTGATGTAAAAGTACGTGTTACGGTAATTTATTAATGTAGCAGACAGTCAGTGGATACACAATTATTTTCCCAGAAAAGTAAAGGAATTAAGTGTGCAAGAGTTAGTAATTAAGTTTGTTTAGATACAGGTGCACATAAGCACAATTATCATACATTGTAAATCTATGGAAAATAACCACAGTGAAAAAATAGTGAAATTCCAAGCACTTTCATGATTCCTCGCATTATCCAGGATTTTTTTTTTTTTCAACACTCCGGTCGTCTCGCACCAAGGCAGGGTGACCCAAAAAGAAAGAAAATCCCCAAAAAGAAAATACTTTCATCATCATTCAACACTTTCACCTCACTATCTTTGCAGAGGCACTCAGATACAACAGTTCAGAAGTCCCTCCAAAATGCCAATATCCCAAACCCCTCCTTTAAAGTGCAGGCATTATACTTCCCATTTATAGGACTCAAGTCTGGCTAACTGGAAAAAAGCTCTGTTCCACAAGGCACAGTACTTGCTCCCATCCTGTTCCTCATCCTCATATCTGACATATCCAGGAATATTCCTTCATAATGCAATAAATTTTAAAAAATTTTCATTGTGGTTATTTTGCATATTGTGATATTACCTGTTTACCATGGTCTTATTGGAAAGTAACATATGTGTAAATTACTAGGATAACCCAAAAAAGTCATAGTAACCTATTTCTATTGGGGTTACCAGTGAATGTGACTATTTTTTAGGGTACCATGTAGAGGGGTATATTCTTAGAGCACAAGGTAGAATGTCAGTTGATTAAACAAAGATGAATCTATTACCACTACATATTTGTACCCTCAGATACCCAATGCTTTATCTCTGTCCACCTGAGCATATCAAGAAACGACTGGAATTACTGGCATCGCTGTTTCCGCCATCTGATTTGAGGCTTTTAATCAGTAACAACCCTGAAGTTCTGTTTAATAAATGGGAGGATATAATGAAAAAAATTATGTACATACACAAAGTAAGTTTTCACGGCTTTTGAAATTGCAATAACATTATAAGAGACAAATCACGGAAAGGATGGGGTTCAAACCCATGGCAGTTGATCAAATGAAATTGCTGGCTAACAGATGGCTTCAACCTCATCCTTTTATACATTTGTATGTCTCGACACAAAAAAAATTTCAAATGAGCTGATGTAAGTAACAACTCTCAGCTTGTAAATAAAGTTAGGAACCTTAACCTAACCTTGTAGAACCCTGTGTTTAAGCGAGTCTTAAAACTCACAGGCTAGTGGATCAACCACTCAAGCAGTTAACACACTGGCCTGTGACTTATAGGACTCACTTGAGATGGATTCAAACCCTGCCCGTTCCCTAATAAGTTTTGCATCTTGCCAGTTCATCACTGAATAAAATCGTTCATGATGATAGATATAATAGTTCTGTACACAGTTACATCTATTGGTGAGCGTTTGTTCTTTTTTCAAGAAAAATTTCCTCAAATTTTTGTATTACACTAATTTTGTCTCTTAAATACATTATCGTAATTCAGCATTTTAATAATGCCTTTAATTTTTCGGTTTTCATGTTCGAAGCTTAATTATATACAGTATCTTACAAAACAAAATCACAATAAACAGATGATATCACAATATGTAAAATAATCACAGTGTAAAAAAAAGTGAAACTTGTAAAGAACAAAAAGGCGCAATACCGTGACTGGAACAATACACAAATAACTCGCACAGAGGAGAGAAGAGCTTATGACGACGTCAGTCCAACTTGGACCATTGACGAAGTCACACTCTCAGACTCACTCCCTTCTGTCATTGTGACTTGTAAATGGTCCAAGACAGACCAAAACGTTATCATGAGCATTTTTCCCTATGTGTGGGTCTTTTGCGTAAAGTGAAATTCATAATGCTTCAGTGATTTCTCACATTGATAATAATGTGAGAAATCATGTAAATGCTTGGAATTTCACTATTTTTTCACTGTGGTTATTTTGCACAGTATCTAACATAAAATACTTCAGTGATGGATTCTTCTTCCATCGCTCTATTAGCTTTTTTTTATAATCTAACTTCTTTCTTTTTTAGGAAATGGGATTGGAGCAGCCACACATGACTGATTGTAGCGTCTTTACCAGGTCGCTGTTCCACATAAAGACAAGACACCAGTTTCTTCATCGAGCAGGACTTTATAAGTTCCCAAACTTAAAGAAAGACAAAGACAGTTACAAGATAAATTCATCTCTCTCTGACATAATGGATACTACTGATAAATATTTTGCTAATAAGTAAGTGGTAACATCTGATTAATTTTCCACTGCTTGCTTTCAGGTCATCAGCATGGCACTGACTGAAGTCAGTATCTCTCGATCGGTTTAGCACTGGCCAGCAATTGGCTGGGAGTTTGTTGACACAGGTCTTGGTTACTGGTGGCATTTGGTAATGCAACTGATTTTTTTTAACACATTGGCCGTTTCCCACCAGGGCGGGGTGACCCACACAAAAAGAAACACTTTCATCATCACTCACTCTATCACTGTCTTGCCAGAGGCGTGCCGATACTTAAAAAACTGCACTGTAACTCCATCCCTCCTTCAGAGTGCAGGCATTGTAATTCCCACCTCCAGGATTCAAGTCTGACTAACCGGTTTTCCTGAATCCCTTCATAACTGTTACTTTGCTCACACACCAACAGCACTTCAGGCTATAAATGACCTACGTACTGATGTACGAAGACTACTCAAGATGATGCCCTGTGGTGCCCCATTGTTTGTAGGTTATGTTGAAGGAATGTTTATGGTATACCTCGAGGGTGTTCCGGGGGTCACTGCCCCTGCGGCCCAGTCCATAACCAGGCCTCACGGTGGATCAGGGCCTGATCAACCAGGATACATAGTCTCTGAGCCCAAGTTTTCTATATTCAGGAGGAGAACAGTATTGTTATTGGTATGAAGTACGTTTTACAGGTGAGTAAACAATCATGGTGGATGCTCATTATTTGTAAGATATTAACAGGACTTGAGTCCTGGAGGTCTGAAGCACAGTGCCTGCGCTCTGAAGGAAGGGTGGAGATATGCTGCAGTTTTTTAGCTATAGTATCGGCACGCCTCTGGCAAGATAGTGATGGTGTGAGTGATTATGAAAGTGTTTCTTTTTTATCGGGTTACCCTACCTCAGTGGGAAAGGGCCTTACCAACTGCCACCAGTAACCACTAATGAGAAATGACTTACATATAGGGTTTACTACTATCCACCGTTTTGGGTATCTGTGGCAGGTCTTGGCAGGTATCCCTTGCGGATACGAGGGGACTATTTTAATAGTTTTTTTTAACACACTGGCTGTCTTCCACTGAGGTAAATAGCAACCGTCCTGCAGTTAAGTGTAAGACAGAAACCTGTAACTGTTTTACACGATGGTAGGATTGCTGGTGTCCTTTTTCTGACTCATATATGGAATAATAGGTATATCTTGTTACTTCTACTTACACCTAGGTCACATTACACATGTGGATACACATATATGTATAGACACTCATCTGAGTTTTCTATTTTCTTAATAGTTGTTCTTATTTCATCTCCATGGGGAAGTGGATTAAGAATCTTTCCTCCATAAGCCATGCATGTTGTGAAAACCGACTAAAATGCCGAGAGCAATGGGCTGGTAATGGTGCCTGCACTCTGAAGGAGAGGTGTTGATAAGTTACAGTTTTATAACTGTATTGTAGGTATGCCTCTGGCAAGACAGTGGAGTGAATGATGATGAAAGCATTTCTTCTTTTCGGGTCACCCTGCCTTGGTGGGAAACTGCCAGTGTGTTACTAAAAAAACAGTAGTAGTATCGCCGGTGTAATATAAATTGAATCAAATATTTTAGCTGTATTATTTTTCTTGCGTCTCATTTTTTATCATCAGTGAACAGGTGTTAACTTAGGCTACATTCTGCTTGTTTCATAACCCACATCTTTCCAAATTAGTTTTTCATTTTCCAGGGTTGCCAAAACTGTCGGATGAAGAATACGCTGTATTTTTCAGCATAATGGAAGAGGAGGAGAAGTATACTCTCAGAAATCACCCAGGAAGATGAAGTGACAAGATGATATTCTTGATGATTAACTAACCATAATGGGTAAATTAGACATCACACTCTTTTGTAAAAATCACTTTTACAGATAATATTATCTTCTCCTTGTAACCAAAACCTGGCCTCAAATGTCTTATAAAACCTATCAGAGATGCAAATCGACACTTTGAGATATGGAACGAAGCCAATCCTTCCTTTCCTTGGATCATTATGGGCACTAACCTAGGATAATACAGCCCGGGAAAGGTGGAACACCCAAGCAATTCAGACAGGACTGGACACAAATCAAAATTTTACAAGAGACCCCAGCCCGGCTTTCCCGGGGGATGTTTTTTGATCAATGATTTCATTCCCAAACATTAGGCCTAGGTTTGACTGATTGGGAGGCCCGTAGGGGGAAATTTTCGACTTCAATTAAATCCTTTGTCTTTATGGATTTAAAAATATATTGGATAATATTTTCCCCCGGCAGCTAACCCGGTGGAGTTTTGAAACTTTATTTCCGGGGTTAACGGGGGGGGTATGTTTATTAACCTTTCAGGGTTTTTGGCTGTTGGAGTGAGGACTTGAGCTAGGTTTCACGGCCCCAAAAAAATTGTTTAAAAATTTTTTGGGAAAGGGGCCTGTCTAATTCCTATTTAAAAACCCCGTTGGGTGTCTTAGTCTACTTTTTGGCAACCCCCGGGGGTTTGGGGTTCCGACCGGGGGTTAACCCCTTTTTGGTTTACTGGGATTAATTTTGAAAGTTGAGGGAGTAAGGGGGGAAAAAAAAGTTTAGGACGGTTTTTTGCCCGAAAAATTCAGGGCAAAGGGTCCCTAGGTAATTTCTACAAACCCTAGGAAAGTTAGCACAGGCACCTCTGTGACCACAAATGCAATTTTTACAGACGAGATCTCCAGCTAGCGGCCGTGCGAACTCTAGCTCAAGTCCCTTCACTGCCTCAACATGACTCAAGAAATCGTAATGACACGATTGCAAATAAACCATACCCCCGGCCGGATTGAAACCGCGGTCATAGAGTCTCAAAACTCCAGCCCGTCGCGTTAGCCACTAGACCAGCTACCACAATAAGATTCATCCAACTAGGTATATTTCTACACCATAGGAAAGTTAGCACAGGCACCTCTGTGACCACAAATGCAAGTTTTTACAGACGTTTTGAGTTTGAGACTCTATGACCGCGGGTTCAATCCCGGCCGGGGTATGGTTTATTTGCAATCGTGTCATTACGATTTCTTGAGTCATGTTGACGGCAGTGAAGGACTTGAGCTAGAGTTCGTCACGGCCACGCTAGCTGGAGATTCGTCTGTAAAAACTTGCATTTGTGGTCACAGAGGTGCCTGTGCTAACTTTCCTATGGTGTAGAAATATACCTAGTTGGATGAATCTTATTGTGGCTAGCTGGTCTAGTGGCTAACGCGACGGGCTGGAGTTTTGAGACTCTATGACCGCGGGTTCAATCCCGGCCGGGGTATGGTTTATTTGCAATCGTGTCATTACGATTTCTTGAGTCATGTTGACGGCAGTGAAGGGACTTGAGCTAGAGTTCGTCACGGCCACGCTAGCTGGAGATTCGTCTGTAAAAACTTGCATTTGTGGTCACAGAGGTGCCTGTGCTAACTTTCCTATGGTGTAGAAATATACCTAGTTGGATGAATCTTATTGTGGCTAGCTGGTCTAGTGGCTAACGCGACGGCTGGAGTTTGAGACTCTATGACCGCGGGTTCAATCCCGGCCGGGGGTATGGTTTATTTGCAATCGTGTCATTACGATTTCTTGAGTCATGTTGACGGCAGTGAAGGGACTTGAGCTAGAGTTCGTCACGGCCACGCTAGCTGGAGATTCGTCTGTAAAAACTTGCATTTGTGGTCACAGAGGTGCCTGTGCTAACTTTCCTATGGTGTAGAAATATACCTAGTTGGATGAATCTTATTGTGGCTAGCTGGTCTAGTGGCTAACGCGACGGGCTGGAGTTTTGAGACTCTATGACCGCGGGTTCAATCCCGGCCGGGGGTATGGTTTATTTGCAATCGTGTCATTACGATTTCTTGAGTCATGTTGACGGCAGTGAAGGGACTTGAGCTAGAGTTCGTCACGGCCACGCTAGCTGGAGATTCGTCTGTAAAAACTTGCATTTGTGGTCACAGAGGTGCCTGTGCTAACTTTCCTATGGTGTAGAAATATACCTAGTTGGATGAATCTTATTGTGGCTAGCTGGTCTAGTGGCTAACGCGACGGGCTGGAGTTTTGAGACTCTATGACCGCGGGTTCAATCCCGGCCGGGGGTATGGTTTATTTGCAATCGTGTCATTACGATTTCTTGAGTCATGTTGACGGCAGTGAAGGGACTTGAGCTAGAGTTCGTCACGGCCACGCTAGCTGGAGATTCGTCTGTAAAAACTTGCATTTGTGGTCACAGAGGTGCCTGTGCTAACTTTCCTATGGTGTAGAAATATACCTAGTTGGATGAATCTTATTGTGGCTAGCTGGTCTAGTGGCTAACGCGACGGGCTGGAGTTTTGAGACTCTATGACCGCGGGTTCAATCCCGGCCGGGGGTATGGTTTACAGTTTTATAACTGTATTGTAGGTATGCCTCTGGCAAGACAGTGGAGTGAATGATGATGAAAGCATTTCTTCTTTTTGGGTCATCCTGCCTTGGTGGGAAACTGCCAGTGTGTTACTAAAAAAAACAGTAGTAGTATCGCCGGTGTAATGTAAATTGAATCAAATATTTTAGCTGTATTATTTTTCTTGCGTCTCATTTTTTATCATCAGTGAACAGGTGTTAACTTCAGGTCTACATTCTGCTTGTTTCTATACCCACATCTTTTCCAAATTATTTTTCATTTTCCAGGGTTGCAAAACTGTCGGATGAAGAATACGCTGTATTTGTCAGCATTATGGAAGAGGAGGAGAAGTTACTCCAGAGTGACGAGGAAGATGAAAGTGACGAAGATGATATTCTTGATGATTAACTAACATAATGTTAATATTATGACATTACACATCTTGTGTAAAACTCACTTTTACAAGATAATATCATCTTGTCCTATGTACCAAAACCTGAGCCTCACTCGTCTTATAAAACCTATCTAGAGTCTGATGCAACTGATGGACTTTTGAGATAAGGAACTGAACCTATCCTTCCTTTCCTTGGATCATTATGGGGGCACTAAACCCGTAGGGATTATACAGCGCCTGGGGAAAGGCGGATGGAAGGCATTCAGACTCAATTCAGGGAACTGGAGCACAGATCAAATTCCCTAGATCAAGAGCCCCCCTCCAGCATCAAGGAACCTTCCTTGAGGGGATCCTTTCCTTTGATCAAACCTGATTTAGTCTATTCCCCAAAGCACTTATGACCCTTATGGGTTTAGCACTCCCACTATGGATGTAGTCCAGTGATAAGAATAATCCAGCCCATCTTCCTAATCAATAAATAAAAACAATAAACAACTTTGATCTTTGTATGCTATAAAAAGAGTAGTTTACTTGTAAAAAAATAATGTTAACCACCAAGAAAGCCACTAACATGAATGAGCATTTCAAGTAGAATCAGTTTGTATTTCAGTGGATATAACAGTGGGATGGGTGACTGTTAATAAGCCTTAAACAGTGATTATGTGACTGTTGTAGAGGCCACTTAGTGAGCCTCTACAGCAGCCACATAATCTTTATTGTATTTCAAAATTTTTGTTTCTATGTAATACAGTCTCTCGTTACTTAGCGACGTACTCATTTACCAACGCCTCGGACTTACGATGGGCTCTCTGACCAGTATTCATACCTAAATATTAGAGCTGATTTCCTCTATTCTGTTTATTTCAAGATACAGTACACTACTGTATAAACATTTAAAAATATGGTATAAACCTTGGTAATAAATACCGACAAGTTGGTTTAGAAAGACACGTAAGCAAACACTAAGGCATATTTATTAGAAAACGTTTCGGTCCTGGGACCTTGATCAAGGTCCCAGGACCAAAACGTTTTCTAATAAATATATCAGTGTTTGCTTATGTGTCTTTCTAAACCATTTAAAAATGTACCAGAAATGTTATGAATGGTGCAAAAGTGACATAAAACAATATCAAAGATGGTTGACACAAACCCACTACCAGTATAGTATGCTCCTCACTAAGCGACGAATTCGTTTAACGACGTGGTCTCAGGAACAGAACTTCGTAATTAAGTGAGGAGAGGCTGTGTATCATTTATGGGTGTTGAGGTATGTTATAATTGGTTAATTTTTATTAACCGTTAACAAATTCACACTTAATAATTCTATTCCACTGTAAATATATATATAAACTTGATACTAACCAGTACGTAGTTTCATTTATGGAACCTTCTTCTCTATGTTTGTTAATAGTATTATTATTATAATCAACACAAAGTGCTTAAGCCACCTGGGCCAGCTGGCTACAATAATATTCAGCCAGCTAGCCAAGTGGCTAACGCATCAGTGCGGAGTTTTATGACTCGCCGTGAGTTCAATCCCTGCTCGTGGTATGGTTTGTTTGCAATCATGTCATTATGATTTTGTGAGTCACAACATATCATACAAGATAAGATAGATAAGATTTTGTCTGGATTTTTAACCCCGGCGGGCTAGCCATCCAAGATAACCCAATCCTCAGTCTTGCTCCCCAGGATGCCACCCACACCAGTCAACTAACACCCAGGTACCTACATGTCCAATGTTTCCACCCCTGCTGGGAATTGAACCCAGACCCTCAGCATATGAAGTGAGAGCATTGCCAGCCAGGCCATGGGGCCATCTATAGCGCTGCTGTTAATAAAAACAGTCGAGGGCCACATGGTTAACACACTGGCTCCTCTTACCAGTGTCATCACTAACTAGTGTTTAATTTCTCTTTTCAAGCAGATTATTAATATAAAATGCAAATCATTTTTTTATTTAATTAGGGGAGAAGCACTAAACCCATAGGGGTTTGTATAGGGTATTTTTTGTGCTGGGGATCCCTATCATTTTTTATTATTTGGTGCAAGGGATACCTGGCGAGGGTTTTGGGGGTCAATGCCCCCACAGCCCAGTCTGAGACCAGGTCTCATGGTGGATCAGGGCCTGATCAACCAGGCTGTTACTGCTGGCTGCATGTAAACCGATGTAGGGACCACAGCCCGGCTGGTCAGGCACTGAATTTAGGTACCTGTCCAGTGCCTTCTTGAAGACTGCCAGGGGTCTATTGGTAATCCCCCTTGTGTATGCTGGGAGGCAGTTGAACAGTCTCGGGCCCCTGACACTTATTGTATGGTCTCTTAACGTGCTAGTGACACCCCTGCTTTTCATTGGGGGGATGGTGCATCGTCTGCCAAGTCTTTTGCTTTCGTAGTGAGTGATTTTCGTGTGCAAGTTCGGTACTAGTCCCTCTAGGATTTTCCAGGTGTATATAATCATGTATCTCTCCCTCCTGCGTTCCAGGGAATACAGGTTTAGGAACCTCAAGCGCTCCCAGTAATTGAGGTGTTTTATCTCTGTACATTTTCTAGGTCGGCAATTTCACCTGCCTTGAAAGGTGCTGTTAGTGTGCAGCAATATTCCAGCCTAGATAGAACAAGTGACCTGAAGAGTGTCATCATGGGCTTGACCTTCCTAGTTTTGAAGGTTCTCATTATCCATCCTGTCATTTTTCTAGCAGATGCGATTGATACATTGTTATGGTCCTTGAAGGTGAGATCTGACATGGTCACTCCCAGGTCTTTTACATTTGTTTTTCACTCTATTGTGTAGTTGGAATTTGTTCTATACTCCGATGCAGTTTTAATTTCCTCTCGTTTTCCATAATGGACTAATTGAAATTTCTCGTCATTGAATTTCATTTTGTTTTCTTTGGCCCATTTAAAGATTTGGTTAATGTCTGCCTAGAGTCGTACAGTGTCTTCAATGGAGGACACTGCAAATTCGGGTGTCATCTGCAAAGGAAGACACGGCACTGTGGCTTATAAGATAAGATTTTGTTCGGATTTTTAACCCCGGAGGGTTAGCCACCCAGGATAACCCAAGAAAGTCAGTGCATCATCGAGGACTGTCTAACTTATTTCCATTGGGGTCCTTAATCTTGTCCCCCAGGATGCGACCCACACCAGTCCAATAACATCTAGGTACCTATTTGCTGCTAGGTGAACAGGACAATAGGTGTAAGGAAACGTGTCGGAATTTTCACCCGCCGGGAATCGAACCCGGGCCCTCCGTGTGTGAAGCGGGAGCTTTAACCACCAGGCCACCGGGCCAGCAATCCCTGTCTATTTCAGATATAAAGATGAACAAGATGGGAGCGAGTACTGTGCCTTGTGAAACAACTTTTCACTATAGCCGATCTGGGTGGCAATCTTGCTTCTTAGAACTCTCTCAAAGATTTTTATGATATGGGACATCAGTGCTGTCGGTCTGTAGTTCTTTGCTGTTGCTTTACTGCCACCCCCCTCAAGGAAGGCTCCTTGACGCTGGTGAGGGGCTCTTGATCTAGGGAATTGGATCTGTGCTCCAGTTCCCTGAATTAAGCCTGAATGCCTTCCATCCCCCCATAGGCGCTGTATAATCCTACGGGTTTAGTGCTTCCCCCTTGATTATAATAATTTACTGCCCCCTTTGTGGAGTGGGGCTATGTCTGTTGTTTTTAGTAACTGTGGGACGACCCCCGTGTCCATGATCCCTCTCCATAGGATGGAAAAGGCTCGTGATAGCCCGGTTAGGTTAGGTTAGTTTAGTTAGGTTAGGTTAGGTTAGGTTAGGTTAGGTTAGGTTAGGTTAGGTTAGTTAGGTTAGGTTAGGTTAGGTTAGGTTAGGTTAGGTTAGTTTAGTTAGGTTAGGTTAGGTTAGGTTAGGTTAGGTTAGTTAGGTTAGGTTAGGTTAGGTTAGGTTAGGTTAGTTTAGTTAGGTTAGGTTACGTTAGGTTACTTTAGTTAGGTTAGGTTAGGTTAGTTTAGTTAGGTTAGGTTAGGTTAGGTTAGTTTAGTTAGGTTAGTTCTTGATGAACATGGAGTTCCATAACAATACTGCGACTAGCTGAGGATATGAACCCACGTCGTTTTGGCCCGGCCCAGGATGAGTGAAAATCATGCCTCAGTCTTCAGGTGCTGTGTGACCCTTAACAGTTTAACGCAACCCATGATACAATTTCAGGTAGATATAACAAGATGACACTTATAATAGTGGATTTATCCCTGGATATAAGACGACACTTATAACAGTGGTCTTATCCCTGGCTATAAGACCGCACAACAGTGGTCTTATCCCTGGCTATAAGACCACACAACAGTGGTCTTATCCCTGGCTATAAGACCACACAACAGTGGTCTTATCCCTGGCTATAAGACCACACACAGTGGTCTTATCCTGGCTATAAGACCACACAACAGTGGTCTTATCCCTGGCTATAAGACCACACAACAGTGGTCTTATCCCTGCTATAAGACTACACAACAGTGGTCTTATCCCTGGCTATAAGACCACACAACAGTGGTCTTATCCCTGGCTATAAGACCACACAACAGTGGTCTTATCCCTGCTATAAGACCACACAACAGTGGTCTTATCCCTGAATATAAGACCACACAACAGTGGTCTTATCCCTGCTATAAGACCACACAAGTGGTCTTATCCCTACTTTAAGACCACACAACAGTGGTCTTATCCCTGCTATAAGACCACACAAGTGGTCTTATCCCTACTTTAAGACCACACAAGTGGTCTTATCCCTACTTTAAGACCACACAACAGTGGTCTTATCCCTGCTTTAAGACCACACAACAGTGGTCTTATCCCTACTTTAAGACCACACAACAGTGGTCTTATCCTGCTTTAAGACCACACAACAGTGGTCTTATCCCTGCTATAAGACCACACAACAGTTGTCTTATCCCTACTTTAAGACCACACAACAGTGGTCTTATCCCTACTTTAAGACCACACAACAGTGGTCTTATCCCTGCTATAAGACCACACAACAGTGGTCTTATCCTGCTTTAAGACCACACAACAGTGGTCTTATCCCTGCTTTAAGACCACACAACAGTGGTCTTATCCCTACTTTAAGACCACACAACAGTGGTCTTATCCCTGCTTTAAGACCACACAACAGTGGTCTTATCCCTGCTTTAAGACCACACAACAGTGGTCTTATCCCTGCTTTAAGACCACACAACAGTGGTCTTATCCCTGCTTTAAGACCACACAACAGTGGTCTTATCCCTGCTTTAAGACCACACAACAGTGGTCTTATCCCTGCTTTAAGACCACAATGGTACTAACAGTAAACCAACAATTTGTAAACCGGTTTTAGTATTCTGGATAAACGTGAATATCGTGACTATAGGGGATTGTATTTGCTTATGTGTGAGTGAGGCAACAGGTGCCGGAGTAGGTGCAGTAGTATTGGAGCAGTGAGAGTGGCAGCAGGTGCCGGAGTAGGTGCAGTAGTATTGGAGCAGTGAGAGTGGCAGCAGGTGCCGGAGTAGGTGCAGTAGTA